TTTCCTACATACTTTTTTCCTAAAAATTGTACAATCTGTCACTTCACAGATACCCACCAAAAGCCACTCTTAATTACTTGCAGAAGATAAGTTTCTCCCTGTTTATACTAACTGCTGTGAAAATGCTATTATACGCAAATGTTTCATCTGTTTTGCAAACATATGCTTTCACACACACATACTGCAGAGGCAGTTGCCTGAAATAGGAAATGTCCTTCAAAACAGAAATGAAACACGTTGAGCCACTCAACATTTTCCATTTTTCAAATCCATCGTGGAAGCATATATGACTGATATTTAGAAATCACATGCTCCATTGACTGTACTAGGGCTGAACTCTTTGAAGGCAAGATGCATGCTACCTGATTCATACCTGTAATTTACAATTGAAGAAGTTCAGGGTCAGAGAAGTGAAGAGTTATGGAAGGTCCGCAACCATGTTAATGGCAAACAAATGACAGGAACTCAGGTGTTCCAGTCACACTCCTGGACTGGTGTGCAACTGAACCACAAAATCTGGGAATTTGGATGGGAAAGACCCTTCCTCTTAGTGGAGATCCTAAGAGTCTGGATACACTGAAAGCTGTAGTTAAGGTTTAGTTGTTTAGCTGCACTGCAGCTGGGCCCCTTTCCCCCTTCCCGCAATTCCCTTCCCCGTACCTTCACCTGCCCCCCCAAACACTCACAGGCACACTGGTAATATAACATTTCTAAACTTTTCTTTTGAGTTTAATTTGTATTTGGAATACATCCAGGCCAAACATAAAGAAAATCTCAAAGCCAACACTCCTCCCTTCTGGCCCCTGCCAGGCTCCCCTTGGCTGCAGCCGTAGATGGGGAACCAATATTACCTCACGTCTTAAAATTCCATCTTTGGACAGGCCTGGTCTCACCTTCTCTCCGCTCTTTCCTTGGGTTGAAGAAGGGGTGTGAGGTTGGCACTGTGAGAGGAACTCTTTTTACCCACAATCAGAGTGATTACATTGTTGAGGTGAAGGTCCAATGTGCAGGAACCTCCCAAACAGTTTTAAGGGCAGAGAGGTAGGAGGCTGATAATGGACTTGGAACTGGGAGGTCAGAGTTCTGTCTTCCAGGGCATACTTCTTGCTTATTTTGTTGGACTAAGTGAGCTTCCACCATTTCATTAGAACAGGAAGCATTAGGTCATCACCAAAGCAGTCCCGAAGAATAAAGCGACCTAAATTTGGCGCCCAGCAAAATGCCTGGGCCACTTAACTGGCTCTGAGCTATTTGCCTTTGGGCACATGTCTTAGTTCCTCTCTATGTCTGATTCTTTATCCCACAAGTTTTTGTAATTATTCTTATCCTTGCCACCTAGGGGTGTGGACCACTCAAGCACACAATGTCCTCTCAATGCAAATCCTTATTTGACCCAATCTTTTCTTTTCATGGAATGATGCTAAGTGCCAAGAAGAGGTAACAGGTGTCTAATGTCTGATAGGTGTGTTAGGAAAAGACTATCTTGGTAGGAACACAGTGTTATCTTACTAGATACAAGATGTTCCTTAGGGACCACCTCTCCTGTGTGTGTGTGTGTGCCTTTAAAATAAATACACTTTTTAAATAATGTCAGTTTTTCCAGATCAGTGTCAGTTTGTCAGTTCCTCTTCCATCTCTGCCTGCCCTCAAAGGGTGAAATACTGTTCCCATCTGCTAGGTTTCCTTTGCTTCCGTTGGCTAATGTTTCAACGGTATCATGCTCTGGTTTGTAAAACTTTCCTCAGGAAGCCACACAAATGACCCTCAAAATACGTGGGTCTTTCAGTAGCTGTTCACCCTGAATTTTTAAGCTCTCACCCCCCTCTTAGGTTCTGGCCTCTCTTGGCTTCTGAAACCACAAAGCAGTTAGAGATTCTAATCTCTCAACACAAAGTCACTTTGGCACCCATAATCAAATGTCAGCTGGGGTCACAATTGCCTGTCTGCGGTGGAAAGTTCTAAGTAGCTGCAGTTGCTTTTGTGATGTGCCGGTTGACTTGGAGAGAGAGCCTTGAAACTCAACAGGAAGGTGGTTTTCTGAGGCATGTTAAAAATATATTTACATTTGTTTATATGGGAGTGATTATTCTTAGTTTGAGGGAGAGGTTTGATGAGGACCTAGAGGCTCTGTGGTGGTGTGGCAGAACTAGCAGGATTTGCACCTGCACAAAATGAGTGGTTTGGGTGTTTCTACTTCCAGGTTGTTGCCTCATTTCCTTACTCCCTACAAGCTCTGAATGCTGCACAACCCTGATCCCAGATCTCTCTTTTCATCTAATGTCTCTGTTTTCTCCAAGCTGGCAGGCCACCACCATTAGCCATGCCAGCGGCAAGTGTCAGGCTTCAGGAGGCTTTTTCTTGCTGTGAAGGGACAAGGTCTATGATCTTAGGAGTCTCTACCTGCAGTGCTAATGACTGTGAGCTCGAGTCACACCTTTGGGTTATATGAACAGACTGGCTGGACATTTCTAATCTAATGGTTTCTACTCCATTGTCAGAACTCCAGACTGAGGGATGGCCAAAGAGTTTAGAAAGATACACTTGTTCGTTGGTATCTGGCTTTATGTATTCTCTCTGGAAATAGAAAACAGAGGTGTGCATTGCTATCTTCCACCTAGTGCAACATCCCCCACCTCCATACAGTCAAACAGGTGTGTGTGTGTGTGAACCAGAACAAGTTAAGGTGAGATGAAGGACGCAATCTCAGAGGACTAGTGGTTGGCAGTAACTCTGGGATCAATCACAGGGTCTGGGGCACTCATAGTGATAACCTAGATCCTTCTGTACCTATGCTGCCGTGTACTGAGTTTCTCTTGCAGATAATTGTATCTATTCTGTGTACACCTGACCCCAAGGGATAACCTGCCAGCCTAGGGCTATTGGGTCCAGACAAAGATACAGCTGATACAGCCAGTGTTCTGGGAACCCTTTATCATTTTCATGCACACTAGCTCCAGGTGTGCCAAGCAGCACCTGTCACAGGGTTACCCTGAGGGTCCTGGAATGACTTTGCCTGCTTATTGAAAGCAATATTTGAATCTGCATTCTTCCAGGGATGACAGCCCTTAATCGGTGAATAACAGATGGGAGGGGTGTATAAATACTCCAGCTTCCCTGGCCCCTAATCGGGACCACAATGGGGGTCACAGGAAGCTCTGGTGTGAGTGTGTAAGTAACACCTCACCAATTTCCTCCTGGGCCTTTGCATGACACTGCACTGCTACCTGACATTTTTCCTTTCAGCAGCCAACTACCCAAACACCCTACCAATTCTTTTTGTCACTCAGGATCTTCTTCTGGGAAATCCAGCCTAAGAGGCAAGACAAGGCACAAGAGGCAGTATTTTCTCTAAGACCCAGAATCAACCCAGCTTTCTCTCAGCTCAGATGGCTCCTCAACTCTTCAAAGTTCAGATTTCCTAGGTCACCTCATAAAGGTTCTGTGTGAAATAACCTATCATCCTGTTGCACCAGCATAACAAAAAACTGTTTCCCCACTCCACAGAGTCTTCTGGAAGAGCACAACACAAAGTCAGGTCTGGGACCTTGGGAGAAATTCTGCTTTGTCAGCCTTAGTCAGACTAGGACTGGGCCCAAGCTTGTAACCACATGGTCGCCTCATTGTTTCCCTTCCTTCTAGTCCAACAAAAGTCAAAACCAATGGGGACCTTACACAGTATTTACCTACTTTGGAAAACTTCAAAAACCATTTTAGTTCCTTTCTTGTTTTCTCTCCAGAGCCTGGTATTTTCTGGAAGAAGGACTGTAGATTCCCCGACACTTGGGAAATCCAGCAGAAAATCAACCTCATAGCTCAAGCAAGCTGTGCAGAAACCTCTCAAGTTCCCCTCCTGGTAGCTGTCAACTCTCTCCTTCGTCCCAGCCCTTTGAGCCTCGGGATTAACTCCTACTGCCCTGCAGAGTGGACACGGGGAACAAAACACAATGAGGGAAGCAAATGGTGCAGATTGGAAGAATTAAAGTTCCACAGGGTTGTCCTTCCTCTCTTTACATAAATTCCAAGAGCATCTAGTGTAGAAGAAACACCAAACCTTTGTTTCAACATGACATGTGCCCCAGGAAACTTCCCACAGATCACTCAGCAGAGTTTGGGTTTATTGTAATCACTGTTCCTTCTTGGCCCATAACCGGAAGAATTCCGAAGGTACAAGCTTGGCTCAGAAACCTACAGACAAATGCTCAGAAGTCCTATGAGTTATTCTATCCTGATACACACCACTTACATCAGAGCTTGGCAGGGGGCAGAAAAAACAGGAAGAGAGGTGTCTGGAAAGCTCTCCAAGTCCCAGCTCTTACACTGAGCTTCACAGAATAAAACCTGATGGCCTTGTAATGGCAAACTGGAACCTGGATGGTCATGAAAATTTCTATTCCTAGAGAGGATATTTCCCTGGTTTGTCATGGAAAGAAGAAGCTATGTGGGAAGGAGAGAGATGGAGTGATGAGGGGAATGAAGAAGGCCATAAGCAGCAACAAAATTTGCCTTGTGTTTGTGGTAAGTTATTTCCCCCTGACCCACAGACCCCTGGGAGTCAAGGGAGGCACATCTACCCTCAGCAGCAGTGTTTGGGTTGGAGGAGGGATTGTATCAAATTCCATCCTCAGCAAAACTCTTGAAGACTCTACCAGCCCAGGTACAGCAAACAATGGACTGTGTTTTCACTTTTTTCCTCTCTTTTAGTTCTTGCCAACCAGTTTGAGTGGGTTCTGTGCTTGCAATGTTTTAATTAATTTTTGATGAAAATAAAAAGAGGAATGGAGTTAAAATTAAAGCCTGCTATACAAACGCAAAGCAATTTCTGGAAGGTCAGGAGCAGCTCCTGGCAAGTGTGTCCAGGAATTAGGAACAATGTGCTTGCTGTTTCAGTAGCAAACCAGGAAAGCAAATCCAGGCTGGAAAAGGCTCTCTTGGCATAACTCAGGGCGGGGTTTGCTTCTGGATTTACATAAGCCTCTCTGAAAGCTGACTGAGGAAGCAGAGGGCCGTCTGAGCAGTGATCCAGTGACAGTCGAAAGCTGATTCTTCAGTCTTTATGCTACAGAACTTCCATGTGATCTGGGGAGAGTGGGTGAGTGGGGAAGCAGCTAGTTACCCTTTGTTTCCCTATTACCTGGCTCAGCGCTTGGCATGTATTAAGTGGTTATGAATGAAGTGGGAGCTAACTGAAGCAGTCCTACTCTCCATAACTTTTCACTGCAGAGGCCACAACAGGATAGAGGAGAAGCTGCTAAAGGAAGGGAAATGAAATAAAGATCTCATTTATTTCTCTCTTTCTAAATGTATAACTTAGATCTGCCCTAAGATTTGTGAGAACGATGCAACCCATGATTTATTGCCTCCACTTTGGGGGCAAGAAAGCAGTTTGGTGTTGTGGATAAGGACCTGGACTCAGTGGCCAGACTGCCTGGGTCAGCCTCCCTCACTCTGCCATTTTGAAGCGCGTTGGTTAACCTTTCCGTGTATGCCTCCCCATTTATAAATTGGCAATATTAACAAAACTCGTCTCATAAGACTTTTTTACAAGGAAATGAGTTAACATGTATATAGCACATACATAGTAAATGCTATTTAAGTACTATCGTTATTAGTCATTGTACTTAAAAGGTTATATAGATTGTCTTATGTTTTACATACAGAATTTTTATAAAATAAACACTATTTTGCTTATTTTATAATTGAAGAAACTGAATCTAAGAGAAATTAAATATTTTTTCTATGAGTCAAGCATCTAGTGATTGTTGGACCTTGTATTTGAGCTCAGATCTCTCTGATCCCGCAGCCCGTGCTCTTCATGAAGTTACACTGAAGGGGGTGTGTCTTGTCTGACGCTTCTCCTGCTTGTCATCCTGTTGGCATTCTCTCAGCCCCCAAAGCTTATGAACACAGGGCACTCAGGCTGGCTTCCAGTGGACACTGACAGAATAGCAATTGTTTCTCTGTCAAAGTTCTCAACACTAATATGATTCTCCATGCTGTGGAATACCCAGAGGAAATGAACTTAGGAGGTTTCATGCAGAGATCTTCTAAGATTTCAAGGATTAGAAGAGAAAAATAAGAGGAGATGGCATAATTATTCTTCTACTCTGGGGATAAAAATTCCCTTTATCTTATGAAGGTTAAAGTTCCAGGACTTGGGAATAGAGTTCTCAGCTACCGCATATTAACATACGACAGAGCCGTGGTCAGGTGACTTAGTTGGTCAGAGCATTGTTTCAACACCAAAAGGTTGCTGGTTTGACCCTGGGTCAAGGCACTTACCTGGGTTATAGATTTGGTCCTGGTCAGGGCACTTAAGAGAGGCAACCGATCAATGTTTCTCTCTCTCTAAATCAATACAACATATGCTTGGGTGAGGATTAAAAATGTAATAATAAAATACAAAAAAAATAGAGCCCCAAATACATCCAATCTATCCTGTCTCTAGGGAAAACTAAGTCTAAGTTACCTGGTATAGAGAACCACTTGTGCAGTAAGTAAAACCACTTTCTATAACATGTAACCATGGATAGGAAACCGTGGCAGGAAAGAAGGACGCTAATGTGGGACACTTCCTAGAAAGATAGAGTTGTGTGGCAGTTCTGACTTCATGACCTCGTTTAACTGACCTGATAATTCTGAATGAATCCCTCAGATGTATCTAGAAACGTTTTTATTTTCTGTGTAGTAGTTACAAGACCAGATAACTTTTTAAATTTAATACATTGGAGGCATCTTGGTCTTTGCTGTGTGGGTATTTCCAAGTCACATTTGGTGGTCCATCTTCTTTTCCATCTTACTTAAGCATCTGTACAGCTACTGTGTCTTGCTCTACTTTTGAGGCTGAGACACATAGTTGGAAGAGAAATAGTTGGTTGTTGTTGGATTTCTGCCCCCAGTAGATTTTTAAAACCTTTGAATAAAGTATTGCACACACACAGAAAAGCATACACATTAAGGTGTATAGCACAATGACCTTCACAAATGAAAATATCTATGTAAGTTCCAACCAGGTCAAAGAAGGGAACATTATTAGAACTTCAAAAATAACCTGCTGGTTCTTTTTCCTTCAATTATCCACCCCTTTCTTTACTCCAAAAATAAACACTATCCTGACTCCTAACACCATAGGTTAGTTTTATTTGTGTTTGAGCCACATATAAATTGAATTAAACATTATATATGCTTTCAGATTTAGCTACTTCTGCTTAACATTATATTTGAAACTTTTCCATGTATTTGTTTGCAATAAGAGTTCATTTATTTTCATTGCTATATATTATTTCATTATCTAAATATGTCATAATGTATTTATCCATCCATTGAATATTTAGGTTATTTACAGTTTAAGGCTATAATGAATAATTCTGCCATGAACATTCTTGCCCATGTTTTTTGGCACATTTCTGTTGAGGCATAACCTAGGAGTGAAGTAGCTGAGACAGGAAATTTTCACACATTCGTCTTAGAGTTTTCCAAAATAAGTGTGCCAATTTACACTCTATAACCAGCAGTGTGAATGCTGAAAATCCTTGCTGACATCTGGTATTGTCAGTCTTTTAAGTTATGATCATTCTGGGAGGTATGTGGTAGTATCTCATTGTGGTTTTAATTTTCATTTCCCTGATGACTGATAAGATTGAGTACGTTCTAAAATGTTTATTGTGGGTCTGGCTACCTTCTTTTGTGAAGTGTCTAAGTATGTCATCTGGTTATTTATATTTTTTATTAATTTTTAGTTCTTATATATTCTAGATATGAGTCATATGTGTTATAAATAGTTTCTTGCACTCAGTAGATTTTTCTCTAGACACTTTTAGTGGTATCTTTTGATGAACAAAAGTTCTCATATTTAAAGGAATACAGTGTTTTTTTTTATGATTAGTACTTTTTGTGCCTTTTTAAGAATGTTCTTTTTCTTAACACAAGATCATAAATATATTTTCCAATGTTGTCTGCTAGGCCAGGGGTTGGCAAACTATAGATTGTGGTCCAATCCTGTTTTTATAAATAAAGTTTTATTAGAACACAGTCATTCTCACTTTCACACATATTTTCTATGATTGTTTTTGCTTTGTAATGGCAGACAGTATGGCCTGCAAAGCTCAAAATGTTTACTATCAGGCTCTTCACAGAAAAAAAAATGGCCAAACCCTCTTCTAGAAACTTTATTATTTTGCCTTTCACATTTGCTATTGGCATTTCTGTGTGGTATGTGGTACAGACTAAGATTAGTTTTTTTCTATATGCGTATTCAATTAAGTCAGTGAAAAGTATTGAAAATACTGTCCCTTCCCCAGGGCTCTGAAGTGTCATATATCAAATATATGTATATGAATAGATCTGTTTCTGAATTTTCTATTTTCACACATTGGTCCATTTTTCTAGCCATGATCAATGCCACTCTGTTTAATTAAGTTGGTGCACTTTTATAGCAAGCCGTGGTATCCTCTCACTTTATCTTTCTTCCAGATTGTCTCTATTATTCCTGAAACTTTGCATTTTCATATAAATTTTACAATCAATTTGACGATTTTCTCAAAACAACTTCCTGGGACTTGGACTGGCTTACTCTATAAATCGATTTGGAGAGATTTTACTTATTTACAGAGATAAACCTTCCCATTCATGAATGTGATGTATTTTTTTAAATATGTATGCCTTCTTTAATTTCAATAATATTTAGGTTTTCTGACTTTGACGCCTTGCATATATTTGATAAATTTATTTCTAGTTTTTTTGATACTGATAAATTTATGTCAGCACTAGTTTTTTTTAAAGGAACAACCAAATACCACACCCTAATGAAAATCTGTGGGAAGCTAAAATAATATTACTAGTTCCTAGAAATAAAAAAGATTCAAATGGGAAAGGGGGATGTAAAGATGACCAAAAACATCACACATAGTATATATATAAATGTATTTTTAAAATTAGTTTTGTTATTTTTTGATACTCAAAGACATTTTTTATTGTTTTTATAGAGAGAAAGAAAGGGGGAGAGGAAAAGAGAAACATCAATATGAGAAAGAAACACCCATTGGTTGCCTCCCTCTACGTGCCCAGACTGGGGACTGAAGCCTTAACCTAGGTATGTACCCTGACCAGGATCAAACCTGCAAGCTTTCTGCTATAGGATGATGCTCCAATCAGCTGAGGTACCTGGTCAGGGCTGTGTATAAATGCACTTACTTAAGTATCTCTTCCATGGGTTTTGAATGTCTGCTAGTATTGGCTCACATACCCACGTGTTCTTAAGACTGAATGATAACAAGAAAAGAACACTAGTGGGGTCTCAGTGTCACCAGACCTCCAGGCCTTTTACTCATGCATGAAAGAATAAAGAGTAAATCTGAATGAGAGTGAAAGTAAGTTTTATTCAGGTAGAGAAAAAGAGGCCAGGGCTTGGGTTCCTGGAGATAGGATCAGGGATCTAGCCTGGGCTTGGCCGCCCTGCCTACTGCCAACCCTGGATGCAGGGCTCACAGGACACCACTGTGAAAGAAGCAAAAGTACATGTCCTAGTGGATGCAGGCAAACTCAAGAGTTAGTGGCATATGTGGTCAGTCAGTTCCTGGGATTATACATGTTCCCAGGTTTTGAGCTTCGAGATGCCAAATTTAGTCTGTGCCTTCTGATTGGGATGGGGCTTTGTCCCTAACATGGTCTGTTCCATAAGTGTCATGGCATTTGCTCATCACCTCACCGCCTCTCTGGTTCCTCTTCTACTTGTGGTGTCAGTTTTCATTATACTGATGGCATAATGAGCTTTGATGTTGTTCTCTGGTAAATTTTTCATTCATCTTGGTTTTAGATAGCTCCTGTTGATTTTTGTGACCATCACAGGAGTTTACTGCAATAAACTGTTTCCCTTTGATCCTGCATGGAGGTAGAGGCTATGGTGAGAGATCTAGTGGCTTATCAGCCTGTGATGTTTACTCCTACTTCCTCACTGTTGGGAGCTTTCCCTAACTTCTTTCTACTCTGCCTCAACAGGACTCATGAATCCTAAGCCTCACTCTTCACAAACCAGCTGTGAGACTTCAGGTAAGTTTCTACTAACCCCTCTGGACCTCAGTGTCTATACCTCTAAAAAGTGAGTTGACTAAGATTCTCTGACTTATGTAAGAAGAAGGAAAATCCTTTGATTGCTGGTGACTGTAGATGCAGTCAGGGATGTTCTGGGTATGATTTGTGACTCTGAATGTCAAGAGATATCTTAAAGTCATCATCCCACTGGTTTGGGAATGTGTGGAATGCCTTTGATAGAGACAAAGCTTTTCAAGAAATATCTCTGAGAAAGGAGACCCCTGAGATAAGAACAAGCGGCATAATAAGTGCAAGAAGAATCCACAGGGGCAGAGCATTGGTACCTGAAAAGAAGTAAATTCCAAACAGAGAAGGAGAAGGATGGGGGAAATTTCGCCTAGAGACATGTGTGATGATGCTGGCAGTGCCTATGTGGGAACTTCCCTCATGGGTTTCACAGAAGAGGTGTATTAAGGTTTTTTTAAAGACCTTTAGAGCAAAATTTACACTCCACAGACAAGGAAGTACTGCCATTTTTCCTAAAGTCTAACAGTGATGAAGACAAGCAGGTAAAGCAGCAATGGTTGCTTATCAAAATTCATGCTCATCCTTACCAAGAAAATGCTGCTGCTGGCAAGAGCTATTCCATCAGAGGCTCTATTTCCAGCACCAGCTTGCATCTGGGTTGGGCCAATAGAATACGTATAAAATTAGTATTTGTCACTCTGAGCCAAAGCAATTAAGAAGAAGGTATAGGTTCTGCACTCTCATTTTCTCTTTCTATATTTAGATAGCAAGTTCCTATGAGAAAGCAAAGCTGTGAGATGTGAAGTGCCCCAATGCTTGAGTTATCTCATCAAGGAAAGTTGTGTGCCCACCAGGAACACCTGCATTGGACAGTTCTGGAATGAGAAACAAGTTTCTGTTGTATTAAGTCACAGTGTTTGGGTTTATTTGTTATAGCAGCTATGATTTCCCTAACTAATATAGTTGATTTCTGAAATAATCTATAGTATTGGCAGAAAGAAACAAAGTAAAATGTTATTATATTACTGTCATTTCATTCAAGAAAAGATAAAAAATGAGAAGGGAGGATAACTCTAAAGAAGTTTCCCCAAGCTTTCTTAAGTCATTGGAGAATATTCACAATTAGTATAAAAATGAAACAATAATAATACCAATACATAATATCTGTGCCTAATAGATTTGCACTCCCTCAATTTGCATTTTAATTTCCTTGAATTGGCTCATGACACATTCTTATGTGGGATTCAACATTTAGCAACCAATACCATTTCCTTCTCTCTGGGCTCTTCTTACTCCTCTCCTTACCCTCCCACATCCATATCCCTGCTGCCTTCTCCTTCCCACAAAGCTCATTTTTGGCAAAATGGTTTTTATAAAGTGCACATTTTAATGAATTAAGTGTAATCCCACAGTCACACTTGCATTTTCCCACACTCCCCTGACTTCCACACTCTTGCTATGGGAATTGGCCCTTACACCTCCAGAAAAAAAATGCATTAAAAATTCTGTCTATAAGTAGAAAAGTTATGCACAGAATGTGATGGCTCATCCACTTTTTCTTTTTTGAAAATGTTAGAGGGAAGATGATTCTCAAACATTGCCTGTCCTCTGAGAAAGCAAAAAGATAATCAGTGTTGTTTTTCTTTTGACAGTCATGAAACTGGTTATGATCATAAATCCATGGTTCATCCTTTATCCTTTTTAGTGGAAGCTTTATAGACTGGATTGTACCCTGCCAAAGAAGAAAACTGAAGCATCTGACAGCAGAAAAATTTAAGAAAACTTCAGTGAGAAAAAAGACATTGCACAAACCATCATTTCTAAACACCTCATTCTACCACTGAGGTTCATATAGGTGGTTTAACTTGTCCAAAATTATACAACTATCCAATGGCTTCTGGGAAAGTAAGCTGTGCTCAACCTTTATAGCTCACATCACACAGAGTTTCAAGCATTTGATTTTCCTGGTTCATGACATCAGCCACATGACTGTGATAAAATCACCTCTGTTAGAGATGTGAGGAGACATAGAGGTACTAAGAAGAATGTCAGGTGTTAGGATCTATGTCCTTAAGTCCACCCAACATTTTCTTCTTTCATTGGACACCTACTATGCTTCAGATACTTGGTTAAGGCCTGGGGTTACCTAGACAAAATACATGACCTCTGCTTTCAAAGAGCATGCAGTTTCCTGAGGGCAGATAAATAAATTCTAATCCAGTATCATAATGCTCCTATCTTTTGCTCCTGGCATGTGATCACTTACAAAGCAATGGCTGCTTTTCCCAGGAAGAAAACATCAGCCGCAGTAGAAGCAGCAGCAACAGCCAATCACGGAATCATCAAGTGAAGAGGCACTAACAGCTTTGCTTCCCAACTAAGGAACATCTTATCCAATTCCCCTCCCACCCACCATCACCACTTGTAGGTTTGGAACCAAGAAAGGCTGTGGAAACTAAAGATAATGTGCTAATAGGATACTAAAGCAAAACCACCCTTACATCCCACTCCCCAGAGGTGGTTTGTGTAAACACATTATTCTAGAGTACTGTTTCATTTTATGACTTCAGCTGCTGGCATTTTGCTAGGTTTAAAAGTGTTGATTATCCAGGAAACTCAGTGATACCTTTTGGCAAAGGGCTCAAAGCAGTCAGATCAACTTATCTCACTGTGTTTTTCTTGTCAAAATATTAGACTTTTGGTTTTATTGGAAACTCACATGAAGTCTCCTTTTCAATAAATAACCTGAGATTGCATTTAAAATTAAGTAGGAGAGGAAGACTGGAAATCAGAAGAACTAGGATTTGGTCCTGAATTTACTACTTATTACTTGCAACCCTTGGACAAGTCCATTTACCTATGGGCTTTCTCTTCTTTCTTTCCTTTTCTTTTTTGTTTTTTTTTGTCAAATTACTTTTATTTTATTATTTTCTGTTTATTTTTCTTAATCTTTGTAATAAGAAGAGTGGACTAAATTATCCCTTAGGTCTCAAACACTTCAGGCACTGTACATATTCAAAATTTGGTTACTTCATTTCAGAGAATTCTTATTGAATGTGTATCATGTGCCAGTTCTGCAGTAGGCACTGGGGGAAAGATGAAAGCCACAACTCTCTTCAAGCAGCCCACAGACTCACTAGAGTCAAGCAGTTACACAGTGAGTTCAGAAGGAGGCGTGGGATCCAGAGGTGGGCATGAGAGGCTGTGAGGCACACAAGAAAAGCACTGTGTCCCTCCTGATGATCCCTCCCGATGCTTCTTCACTGAAGAGGATCAGAACATGGCACCTTAAAATATGTCACTCTGGCCTAGCAATTGTTTTCGGCTGAAAGCACTTGAGGAAGAGTAGTAGCTGTAAGGAGGGCTTCCCTTTCTCCCCTTTCTTCCTTAAAAGTAGGACGCAAATTTCCCGTGAGAAGGGTGTCCTCTCTGTGCAAGAAAGAGGTGAACACTCAACACCCACAATGGCGAGATTACACCAAAATGAATTTGTACAAAGAAGCCTACTAAAATATCCCTTTTCTTCCATTTGTTTTACCCATATATTTCCCGGTTACTTTCCTATCATTCACCACCCCAGCCCAGATCCTTTTTGCCTTGTATTGTCTCGTATTCTCAATTTATTGTTCTTTTTGGAAATGGTATTTAAGTTCTCAAGTCTATATACTTCTTTTGGTCTTCATTTCTTTTCTATGAAAGCTCCTGTATCATGTTCAAATACTAACATCCAATAAAATTTGCACGCTTTTCTCCTATTAATCAGACTGTTGTCAGCATAATTCTCAGGTCCAGCCACAGAATTTGAAAAGTCTTTCCTCCTCTATGCTACCTTTTGCTCTTCCCTGGGAAGGTGGTCTACACGGACAATGGCGACAAGGCTCCTGGGCTGCTTGTTGGCTTCCATCCTTAAGGACCACTTCAGGGGATCAGAGGGAGAGAGGACGTGAGGTCAGAGTATTAAACAAATATCCTCACTGGTAGGATAACTGAATTAAAAGTCATTCTCATCCTGAACTGACCTATTGTCTCCCTCACCTCCTCCCTTCTGACCCAGGAGTGGTGTCAGCTCTGTGGTTGCTACTGGCCCAGTTTCTACATCAGTTCCTGTGGTTCCACTTACATCCACCCACCATTTCGTAAGTGGTCCCATATAAATAAATCCTCTTCAAATTTAAACTGATCAGAGGGTGCCATCTGTTTCCTGTTGGGACCCTGACTAATACAGGCATAAAACCCACTTTTGAGATGTGTGTACATCAGAGGTAGTCGGGGGAATAGTGAGGTGAAGAGAAGAAAAGGGCAGGATAGAGGAACAAAAAAGTGTCCCAGAGAAAAACAAAGCTAAGCCTTGAAAGATGTCTTGTAACTAGTCCACTAAACAAATGCTGAGAAGGGAGAGAAAATTTAAGAGAGTAAAATGTGGTTGTTCAGAGACATGAGGGTTTTCTGGGGGAAGGTGTGAGACACGCTAGAAAGCCAGAACAAGTAGAATAGGGAAACTGAGACAGAGACCTGAACAAACTAAATTGGCATAGCAATTTAACAGCCAGATACAGAAGATCACCTCTCTAGAGGTAACACCTAGGCCTTAGTTGTATTTCAGCTCTAGACTCAGAAAAGCAGCATAACCAGGCGGGCAATGCCAGGACCAGTTGCAATGACTAAGCACTGACCAATCAGTGGAAACCGCAACCCTTAAAGGGAGCACCTGGAGAACTGATGAATATTCTGCTGAAATCCTCCCCTGAGACCACCCCTAAGATTCCTGCCTGCAAGAGAGAAATAAAAGCCTGAAGGCAAAGTACCAAGCATGTGCTCTCCCTCTGAGGAGCATACATGTATCTTTCCCTTCTCCATCTCCTTTCCCCTACTTCTTCCTCCACAGGCATCCTAAACTCTAAGAGTCCCCATGACACTTGCAACCAGGGGAGCAATGGGCAGTAACAGCTCATCCCAGGCTAACCCCCCTGAACCTTTCCCCAAGGCCCCCTGTTCTCTAACTTGCCAGTGAGCTAACACAGCACAGCTTAAGCTCTCCTGTTGTCTCTTCTATGTGTAAGCCTTCTTCCTTGTTTCATTGTTCCCATCTTTAATAAACATACCCTCATAGGCTCCTGGACTCGTGTTGTGAAATCTTTCCTACATGCAGTTAGGAAAGATTTCACACTACCACACACTACCAGCTGGCCCTAGGAAGACCCACCCAGGGCCAGGTCTCCTGTCTGGTAACAGGTGTAATATTCAAGATGACTGGGGAGAAGAACTGATGAGGAGAGGGGATGGTAAATCATGAAGCTGGATGGGGAGGAAAGAACAAAATTATAAAGCATTCTGTATGTTGTGTTTGTGGACACTAAGAAAAAAAGATTCATTTGGTATTAACCTGAGAAAGAATTTATCTGCTAGATGGACTCCCCATGGTCAAGTGAGGGCCCAAATTTGATGAATAATAAGAGTCTAGAGTCTAGCAGCCATTTGCTGGCAGGAGCTCCTCATGTACTTTGTATACCAGGAAGAACCTTAAACTGAACTTGGCTTCTCCCACTGCCCTGCTCATTTACCCCATCTGAGTCAACTACTGAAGGGAAACCCTGATTTCATCTTTTGACCAATGGACTGAGACCTGCCCCATTCAATCAGAACTGCTCTGTAACAACCAATCAGAATGTGTGAATACCAATCAATTAAATTGCACTATTCAGACCAGTCAGAACAGTATGAATTTGGAGACCTCATTTACATAAAATGGATCTAATTGGGACCCTGAGCAGGAACTTTTTATTTAACAGGGGACCTCCCCTTTGTCTCAGTGGAGCGTACTTTCAGTCCCCACTATAGGGGGTATTTCCCTGATTGGTGAACTGCTTCACCCGAATAAAGTCTTGTGCACACCTCTTTAGGAATTTTGTTTATTTGTTGGTAAGTTTGGATTCTACCCTAAGACAATGAAATATATTGAAAGATGTTCTTAAGAAGAAGACTAACATGATCAGGTTTATATTTTGGAAGATTCCTCTGGTGAGCAATAGGAAGAAAGCAGGACAGAAGCCGGAAGATTGGTTGGCAAGTTTATCCAATGGCCAAGGCAAGAATCAATGACAATGTGGTATTTGTCTGTGGTTGTGGGGTTTGAGTGGGTGTATATGGAAACTATGGAGGAATAGTGAGAATTTGGTGGGGAACTGCTTATGGCAGTCAGTCTAGAATGATTCCCAGGTTTTGAGGGTGAGATAAGTTGATAAATGGTGAAATAATTTTGCCAACAGAGGAAATTCTAAAGGGGAATCCAAATTCAACTCACTCTTCATTCATTTTTTCAGCATGCTAATGAATTCCCTTTGATTATGGGCTTTTATCAAACATTTAGCTTGTATATTGTTCTTTCTTTAGTGGCTTCTGTTTTTATTACTCAGCTAATGGGGATAATACCAGTTCCTTTCTTGTATTTAAGAATTAATGAGTAGATGCATATGTTGTTCCAGGCACAGGACAAATATTCAATAAAAATTATTATCAAAACCAATATGTGTAAATTCAATACAAAATAGTTGTAAAACTTATTTTCTCAATCAATACTTTTTGAGTCCTATTTTGTGCTTAACATTGTTTATTCTTTATGTGGACAACTGTCAAAAATCTGTGAGAAAAAGGCATAAAAAGTATTTATACTACTAAAATAATTTCTGCTTTTTTCTTCTTCGTATTCTCTCTCTCTGTGTCTGTCTTTCTCAGCTTTCTTTTCCAAATATGTACATAGCTTCCATTTCCAGAAGAAAAAAAGTCCAGAAAGCTGAATTTTTAGAGAGGATAAAAAAAACTTGCCGAGTTATTGATTCATAGCTTTATAATGCACCCAGGATAGTAAGGACATTTATAGATTTCATGAGCTGTTTAATATCTATTTGTGGAGCACTGCCATGTGCAATCATCTTGGACTCATTATGTTTTTTTGGCTGCCCAATGAGTCATAATGAGCCTATGAAAATGTAAAATAATGGGTTAGAACTAGAGAGAATGAAGTAACAGCCAAAGTCAGATATAAAACTATTCTTACATGCAGTCTGCAAGAGTGATCAAGACAAGGAAGGAACAGAGGGCCAATTATTATATGCACACACGTGCACACAAACTTTAAAGAGAACTTGCAGTAAAGGGGAGCTAAGTGGGGAGCCCTAAGAATAGGATACTTAAAAGTGGTGGGTTGTAAATCTATTTTCCATTAAGATTCAAGCAAGTGGGGGTGGGGAGCTAAAATAATAGGGAAGAAATAAAAATGCCAGTTGAGACCCTTTGGAGAAGATGGAGCCCTGTACTGAGAAGATAAAAGAGACTTTATATCTCTGAACTTAAAATGAAGAGGAAGAGATCAGTTCTAAACCAGACTTAAGAGATAGCTTCATTTCTCCCTATTAACCTCTGTTCTCCCCCCAAAAGCCAGTGGAAGCAAGCAGAACAAAAGAATTCTAAGGGAACATAAAGAAGAATGCTTTCTGTAATGGGAGCCATATTTTGAAAAATATTAATGTAATTTTTTTCTTTCAGTATGCAAGTATAGATCCTTCCTCCTAATTGTTCCCAGGGTCATCTGCCCAGAGGTCTGTATGTGGGTCACACATGGTATGCAAAAAGAAAAAAAGAACTGATATTCAGCTTTTGATATTCAAAATCAGATTTGAAGCAAGCTAATAGTCTTGCAAGAAGACTATTTTTTTTCTGACATCATTTTCTTTTTTGACCCATTAAGCACCAATCAGAAGTACTCAGGACCTTAAGAGTTCTCCTGCAGGTAGAAAAGTTATTCCTCTGGAAAGTTATGGAGAGTTATTCACATAGGCCTTGAGGTTCATTACATTATGGAAGGAAGAGATGCCATAGAGGAATGCAGGAAAGCCATGCCCTTCTTGTCCCAGGAAATGATGAGAAGGACAATGATGAGAGTGGAGGGGAGGAGCTGATTTAGGAATATCCAAAAAGAGTTGATGCATACGCCAAGGGCCAGGGGGCACTTAGAGGAAATAGGAGAACCCAGCCCTACGAAGGGGATAGGATGGGGTTGAAGACAGGCTCTAGTTTGCATTTTGGGGAGATTATGCCAGCCCATAGTGAGAAACAGAGTATACAAATAGTCAATGGTCAGAGCATACTTAAAAATAGAACTCTGTAATCTGCAGAGAACTACTCCATCTGCAGCCGTCTGCGCAAGAAAATCTACCCCTTATCCATAATAATCAGCCTCAAAAGGCAGCCTGCTATAAGTCAGTCTTGCAGGAACCTAGATTGCTATCTCTAGTGACAACCCCAGAAGCTAAACAATAACTTCTGTGACAATCAGCTCCAAATGGCCAAGGCTTGATTAATTACTGACAGTTTCTCTAATTTTTGCCTTTTCCCAACTTAAAACCAACCAGAGAAAGCTAAGTATGCACCTCTAACTAATCACACTAGTAAGCGCCACCTCCAGTCAGCCACCTACAGCTTCTTCATGCCAACAGCCTCCTCCAGTCAGGACACTCCTTGAAGCCTCCCCTTCTTTCCACTATAAAGCTTTCCCACTCTCCTGCCTGTCTTTGAGTCACTGCCAAAATGCAAGTGATAGTGGCTGGCTCCCTTGCTACAGCAAGCGCTGAATAAATTGTCTTTGCTTTTCTCATTTGGTTGGTCTTTTATTTCCACAACAGAGGTGCTTATAGTAGAGCCAGTTGTATCCTGGGGCCCCTGTGGCAGAGTGCCTTGGTCTGAACATTCGTAGCCCCCTAAAATGTGTATGTTTAAATCCTAATGGACAGTGCAATGGTATTAGTGGGTGAAGCCTTTGAGAG